ACGTTTCTCCAAGGTCCGTCGCTCAAAGGAAGCGGTTTGTGGTCGATGTGCAGGTTCTGAGAGGCGCGGCTCCCAAGTTCTCGTCTGCGCAGCACTTTCCATGCACAAAAAATTGCAAGCAAGAGAGCCAGTGCAGAAAGTGTGACACCGAACCCGATTCCCACTTTTGCGCCAGTGGAGAGATCCGGAGTCGATGTTTTGGAAGAAGTATGCGAAGGAAGAGTCGATGCGGAAGTCGTTACGGCTGACGTGGCCGTCGCGAATGTGGACGAAGGCGTGGCGGCGGCGACGGCAGACGAAGTCGATACGACAGAAGACTCGGACGAAGTGAGAGCGGGAAACAACGCCAAATCATTCAGTCTGTACTCAATCGTCAGGGCCTGCGCCCACATGGTGATTGGACCAGTGACCTGCGTGGTCGAAAGGGAGTGTTGGTCATACAGTCCGGGGACGCGGGTGACGTTTCCGGCTGGGAGCGTGCTAATGCAACCAACAAAGTTCTCAGCGTTGGTCCCACCATAGTTGATGGTTGAGATTGTGCCGTAGTAGGCAAAACTCCTGGAAAGATCAGCAGTAGATCAAGATCAAGAATATGCTAACATACGAGTAACAGCACACGCCGGTTGTTGTCCCCGAATCACTGATTTCGGTGACTGTCGTATAGCTCACTGGACAAGCCCCCGGGCTCCAGACCTGTATGCTGTAGGCGCGGCCGCCCGCACGCCAGCCAGAAGGAAAGCAGTCTGTATCGATTCCTCCCTGCTCATATTTGACCTGGTTTTGAACCAATATGCCGTTGGAAACGCTGTTGTAGTATGGAGCCTCGTACGTCCAGTGCGTTTTGCATGAGGCTGGCGGGGTGAACCGGGTCGTCATCGCATTTGTGAATATGCTGGAGACGGCCCTCGCCGCCACGGTTGCGAACATGGTGTTGGAGCTGAGAAAAAATGCACAACATGAGTGCGCAATACACTGATGTGGTAAAAGAAAGGTACGTTCAAATGGCCTGAGCCGTGATCTTCCTTCGTCGGAGTGGTTTCCTGTCTTCTCTGGCATTCATTGCCAACAGCGCGCTTAAAGTTGCAGGGGTCCGCTACTGTGCCGCTTGTCGTGTCCCACTCACAAAACACCTTTTAGCGCGTGGCCGGCATTTGTTGATATTCTCAGGGTTGCCAAGTCGTCGCTTACACCCCCCGGGGAAAGAGTCCACTTTTCATGTCTTTCGGCGCGTACATGAAGAAGTTGTTTTGTCCGATGGTCGAAGAGCCGCAACCGCGCCGCCGCCCTCCCACCCTCCTTTCGTCCACATTTTAGGCAAGAGCCGATATTCAACAGGCCTCGAATGGCTGTCGAAAGTGTGATCCGTCCACAGAGCCGCCGGACCCGGCAAGCTTCTCGGCTCTCGCCGATCGTGTGCTTAGGCTCGTTGTCAAAACGGCGTTGCAGTCCCGCAGCATCGTCTTCATCAGTCTCTTTCCTTTCGTTAAATATCCCCCACAATGGGTCTTTTGCGCGATCATGTCCCAAGCCTCAGCGCCGTCGCTCTTCTTGCCGCATGTGTCCCCGTAGAGGTATTCTACGGCGGCTTCACCGAAATTTCCTCTGATCTGTTTTGTTCAATCTTTCTTTTGATAGCCAACGAGCTGGCATCGTTAAGGCGCGATGAGTACAGTGCATTTCCCGAGAGCATTACGAGCGACCATCATCCAATCATGATTGCCGCTTGGTTTGGCATCCATTCCGTCTGCAGGTCGCTGACCGACGTGCGGTGGAGCACGGTGAGTTGTACCTTCTCATCTGCAGTACATTGCTGATTACCTGCGCAGCCAGCGGCTCTTCCTGCTTTGCTTGCCGTCCGGCTGGGCACCTCAACATCATTCTTCGACCAGCCGCAGAAGTCGACCATCCTGCCGCTGCTCAAATCGTTGCGGATCAGTCTTATCATCGCTGTCATTTCCCTCCTTTTGCTCCGTCGCCCAGATGATTCCATTACATTTGCGATCTCAGTCCTAGCACTCGTAGCACAGGTCGCCGGGTTCACTCATCTTCATCAAGCCGCCAATCGCCTGATCGACTATGAAGCTCCTGGCATCTCATCAAGGCTGGCTAGGAGCATACTCCGGCAGACTGTGGCTGTCCTGGTCGGCATCTGCTGTGTAATTCTTTTCAGCGAAGGCTTTGATCGCGTCCATGCCGAAGGTACCGTCAAACTTGGCTTGATGAAAGCCGTCAAATGGGCTTTCATACTATACTTGGTAGAAGACTTCAAATCTTCTGCGAATGTGTCAACTAACGGTCTTCAGGTCAACCAAAAAACGCCTTGGGACATTGCGTCCGCCGGAAGCATCTTCGGCTACGGTATTTGCGAGGCCCAAAGTCTCCATTGGGCTGAATCGGTTGGCCCTGCGATCGTGGCCATGACTGCGGTCGTTCATTCATATTTCCTCTTGGGCAAGTCCACGGCTCATCGCGTCATCGTGCTCTCGATGGTAATCATGCCTTTGTCCCTTGTCATTTTCAAATTCTGGCCTGTCTCAGTTCAAGAGCCTTGCCATCACACTGTGCATCCCATTGTCGCACTCTCTGAACAAGCAACCGCCGAGTTCTCAGCAATGCTGGAGCGCCAATCAGCCAACCTTACGGTCGCCACGGACGAGTACAAGAGAAGATATGGCAGAAAGCCACCCCCAGGCTTTGATCGCTGGTTTGACTTCGCAAAGTCTCAGAACTCTCCCATCATTGACGAATTTGACATGATTGATTCGATGATGGAGCCGTTCTGGAAGATCAATCCCGAGAGACTGCGGGCCAATGTCAACATGGCCATGTCGGGCGACAATGTGGTATCATTGCACCTGCGAGAAGGTTACTTCTCGACGGGAAGTTCTCACTGGATGACGACCGATTTTGCAGGGCTTCTTGGCTCTGTTGCGCCCGACATTCCAGACTTTGACGCGGTGTTCAATCCTCTCGACGAGCCGCGAGTACTCATGTCGAGCTCTGGAGTGAATCGAAATTCTGACGAGTCTGAGAAGGTTGAATGGTACGACGGCAGTCGCCAGAGTGAGAGTTTCGAGAAAATGACGACAGAATGCGACAGACGCAGAATGTTTCAGCACATCTCTCGTGCCAATATCGAGGATTTTGGCCTGCCATTTGTGGAGGATATCAGCGCTGCCAAGGACATTTGCCAGCATCCAGAGTATCGAGATCAGCACGGGTTCCTCGAGAAGCCCGACACCTTCCGAATTACCAAAAACGCCGTCCCCATGTTCACGCAGAGCAAGCCATCCACCTTTGACGACCTGTTGATTCCGGCTCCCATCTATCGCAGGTTTTACAAGGAGCACATGTATGACGAGAGCCAGGACGTGCCTTGGGAAGAAAAGTACCCGACGCTCTACTGGGCCGGTTCGACCACCGGAAGCCGACAGGGCGACGCGACGGATTGGAGAAAGGCGCATCGCCAGCGCTTTGTCGCAAAAGCGCAACACCTCCAGAACAGCACGCAGACATTCCTGACGGAGGCGGAGCCGGGCGTGTGGAAGGCGTACAAGAGCACCGACGTACTCTCGAAACAGTACGACGCACGCTTCACGGCCGTGATCCAATGCGACAGCGCGGCCTGCAACTCGGAAAAGGACTACTTCCACCCCAGCGACCGCGTGCAGCCGTCGGAAAGCCTGCGCTCGCGCTTCCTCTTCGACCTCGACGGCAACGCGTACTCGGGGCGCTTCTACGTGCTGCTGCGCTCGCACAGCGCGGTGCTCAAGCAGACCATCTTCCAGGAGTGGCACGACGAGCGCCTCTTCCCGTGGGTGCACTACGTGCCCGTCAGCATGAGCATGGACGAGCTGCCCGAGACGATGCGCTTCCTGGCGCTGACGGACCAGGGCGACGCTATCGCGCAGCGCGTCGCTGAGGAGGGCCGCGAGTGGCGCATGAAGGCCCTGCGCGAGGAGGACCAGATTGTCTACATGTATCGCTTGCTGCTCGAGTATTCGCGCGTTTTGAGGGATGATCGGGACGAGTTGGTGTGTACAGGGTGTGAGGAGCGGTAGATCTAATAGGACGATTAATGAAGATACCCAGCGAAGGCTTTACTTTACACATGTTCGGCTTGCGTTGTGATGAAAGACTAGACTCTTCAGACCTCTCCAAGCATTCATGTACTTGACCTGCAGCGGCGATAGCAATGTCAAACTCCCCAAACAAAACAAAAGATTTTGACTACTTGCCCTTGTGGTTCAGTGTAGCCCAGAGGCGCTGGCTGGACTCGTGAAGCTACTGCCATGATGGCGCGTCTGCCGTGAGCTTGGTGGCTTGCTGCTGTTGGCGGCTGGCCAAGAAGAGGATGTGCTCGTGGACAATGCTATTGCGACGCTACTGCTGGCCTGGTGTACCCTCTCCGTTCAACTCCACAGTCTCCTGACAATCCGCCGACCTCTATCCTCGTCCTCGTCCCTAGGAGCGTCAGGCGTCGGGGCGTCGAAATAAGCGCAGCCGTTGAGTGACATCGGGCATGCTCTCATTTGGTGACGTCTATTGGAAGGCTGGTCGTACAGAGGAGGTGGCAGAGGGGCAGTGAGCAAGTGGACGTCGCTCCCATCAGGTGTCGTCGCGGGAGTAGTGAACTTTGGCGATGAATGCCTGTCTTCCCTCGTCAAGGAGCAGGTGATTGAGCGAGAGGAATTCGATGGCCATGCGATGCAACGAGGACGTCGAGTGGGAGGATCCAACGGTCGATAGCGAGTCACAGGTATCGTGGGTGCAAATGGCATGTGGAAGGTGACGAGCCCCAGGTCGAGACAGTCGCGCCTTCCTCCCCCGTCAACAGCGCCTTCGTGTCAAAAGACCATCACAAAGACACCCGACAGCTCCTCGCCCATTCTCTAGTTCCGTGGAAGTACAGCAGCCCCAATCATCCGCACACCGCGCACAAAACCAGACCAAAAACGTCAACGAACCAGACAAGACGAAGAACACTGCAGAAAAAAGAATGCCCCCGCCGAGAATCGCACTCGGGTCTCAGCTCCATTGAAGCACCATATCTTCTCCCAACCACCCGGAATGGAAGGGCCATGATTTCGCGGGACGCCGGAAACACTGCGTGCTACCACTGCACCACGATGGAATTTTGTATGGGAGGAGAGGTCTACTTTGGGGATATGAAGGTGTGGAAAGTCTGGCCACGCTCTGCAGGCTGTTTCGCTGTCTGCCAAACGCAAAGCGTCGCGACGGTGGCGAGCGTGATTATCCTTGTGCCGTGTCGATGCTCGAGGCCACGTGATCTGTCAAGACTCCGTTAGCCGTTGATTGATATGAGGCATTAGCTTGTCTTCTGAAGCCCTTAGGAGCATGAGTCGTAATCACTGTGCTCTCGCTATGATGAAGGTGGACGTCTGGGCGCTCCTGCGAAGTCACCCTTGACGTCATCAGAGCAGCAGTTAGGTGCGGCCTTGTGGGCGCGCATACTTAAGCAGCACAACATCCTACATGACCTTCTTCACCGTTTAATCTCGCTGTCTCCCAAACGCAAACCGTCGCGACGGTGGCGAGGATGCTCGTCCTTGTCCAAGGAGCTCGATTTGTCAAACTACGTCGGTCGTTGATTGACATGGGCCCGTCCTAGTTTTATAAGGTCCGTTCGCTCGCAGGAAGGAATGGCGGGGTCGACGCCCTGATGCCGTGTTGCGAGCAGCCGCCGAGCTGGCAGCAGACTTGCGGCTTGCAGAAAGCCTGGCGTCAAGAAACACTGTTCAGTGGCCGAACAATGACTTCGACCGCGCACCAAGAGTGGAGGACAGCGAAACAGGAAAGTCGAGCGGACGAGGACGTTTTGCGAAGAGGTGAATGACGTCTTCAAAAACAGACAGAGAAAGCATTCAAGAAACAGATTCGCAGACAAGACACGCAGCGAGACACCAAAAGGAATAGAGGTGGAAGCAGCAAAGCCACCAAGCAGTCTCGCAGTCGCAGACAAACACATGCAAAACCTTTTTCAATATCCAAGATTTTTGGTACATATCCATAATGTCGTGACGATGCAGTGCACTTCCCTCTCGTCTACTACTATCTTACATTCTTGTACAAAAAGGGTTCTCGTGTTGTAATTCAACCAACAACTCCATAAATATGCGTTGCGTCTCGTGGTATCATCAAAGCTGAAAAAGGAAAACAAAAAGCCAACAACAAAACCAAAACAAAAGGAAAAAGATCTCCGCTGCTATGCGTCGTCGTCTTTAATGTCGATCGACGAAGGAGGAGACGACTTGGTCATCTTGTTCATCCCTCCTTGCGACGGGAGCCGCTCTTGAAGGCGTCGGCGTCGCTGCTCTCAGTGCTGCTGCGACCGGGCACGTCGTGGCGGGCCTCGGCGACGCGCTCGGCGTCCTCGAGGGTCTTTTCGACGTCGAGGACCTCGCCCTTGCGCACGCGGCGCTCGGTCCAGACGGGGTTCTCGTTCTTCTCGTAGGCTTCGGCGAAGATGGCGTCCATCTTTTCCAGAGGGTAGCCTGGGGTGTACATTAGCTTTTGCTGGCTTGATGAGAAGGGATGCCGTGGACTTACCATTGGTCTCGACAAAGGTGAAGTAGACGACGGGGATGAAGGCAAAGTTGAAGCACATGAAGACGAAGTAGGTCTCCCACGCAATCTTGTTGATCATGATGGGAGCGAGCTGGACAACGGCGTAGTTGAAGATCCAGTTCGCAGACGTCGACAGACCGTTGGCTTCGGCACGGATGCGGATGGGCGTAATCTCTGCCGGGTACAGCCAGGTGACACCGAGCCAGCCAATGGCGAAGAAAGTGTTGTAGACGAAGATGAAGACTGTCGCGACGTACGCCGGAGGCTTGGTGCCGGCCGACAGACAGGCGCCGACGATGAGCAGCGAGATGGCCATGCCCATGGCACCCCAGAGCATGAGGCGGCGGCGACCGAGGCGGTCGACAACGAACAGGGCGACGAGCGCAGAAATGAAGAATTCAGTACCCAGGCAGCCAGTCATCAGACGCGAGAGCTCGGCGTCAAAGCCCAGCGAGTCTTCAAAGACGGTCGTAGCGTAGTAGGTGACCAAGTTGAGACCGCCAATCTGCTGGAAGGCCTGAGAGCAAAAGGCGATCAGAGAGCGCCACCTGTTCATCTCGGGGCCCTTGCTGAAGAATTCCTTGACGGTGAGCTTCTTGCCGCCAGTGATGGCGTTGACCTTCTTGATCTCATCAATCTCGGTGAGCAGGTTCACATCGTCGGGGGTCGTGTCGCGGAGGTGCGCCATGATGTGGAGCGCGGCGGTGTCCTCGTTGTGCTTGAGCAGCCAGCGTGGAGACTCGGGGTACGCAAGGACACCGATGATCAACATGACACCAAAGACTGCTTGGAATGCAATGGGGAAACGCCATTGGAAGGAGCCGTATTGCGTGACAAACCAGAAGCCGTAGTTGATCCTGGAAATCAGTTAGCGACCATGTCGAAGTGGTCGAGGAGTTGACCTACCAGTACGACACCATGATACCGCCAGTGATCAGTGCGCCCTCAAAGAGCACGAGGAAACCACGAATCTTGGGAGGCGCCATTTCGGATTGCCAGACGGGGATACTGGACGTGTTCATTCCGTTCCCGATGCCCGTTACAATGCGACCGACGATGAGCTGGCCCATGGTGGTGGAAGAGGCTTGGATGGCAGTACCGATGAGCATCCACACAGTACCAGCCAATACCGACTTTCTACGTCCCATCTTGTCACCGTAGCCAATGATCAAGAACGAGCCGAGAAGACAACCGATTTCGTAAATGGCAACGACCAGGGCCTGGATGGCGCCGTCCTTGAAGTTGCCGTCCATCTGGGGAAAGTCCTGGAGAAACATGGGTTCGGAGATAATGCCAGACATGATACCCTGATCGTAACTGTCGACAGTCAGCAAGACGCAGTCGAGGAGGTGTCGCGAGGGGCGTACCCGAAGAGCAAGAAACCAGACGCTGCGGTGATACAGACGCCTATCTGCAGCGCCTTGCCGCCAATCTTTCCACCGAGGAAGCCGGTGTGTTCAAACCCTGAGAAACCCATGATGGATGCGGCCAGGCGGAGAGTAATTTTGATCTGGAGTTGTAAAGAATGCAAACGACAAGTCGACGCGGACTCCCCTCATCTTATACCCCAAGGGGACGGGTTGGAGAGAGAGAGCTGGGGGGCCCACTTGTCCACAACGTAAGGAAGACCCTGATGGAGTGCGATGATATCAACTCTGACAGTTTTCCAGGGTTGCGGCGGCGGGCAGACGTCGGCTCCGACCAGACGGGAGCCAACTCCACGAGAGCGGAGAAGGCTTTGGTTCCGGTGAGGGGAAGTGGACATGTCGATGGCAGCCAGTCGGACCAATTGTGGATGTAGTGATTTCATACTGGAGAAGCACAGAAGAGGCGTGGTGTTGGGCATGCGGGAGTGTGGGATATGCGGTACCTACGCAAGAGGGCGGGTCGCGGCGCGTGCGTGACGTCATGGTGTTGCTCAAGCTCCATGTCAGCCTTGCCCAATCGGGCAACTTTGCGCCTCTGATCGCGGCGGGAGTGGCGCAAGGAACAGCCATCATCGACATTCGAGGGCAGGTCTGCCGAGTCATGCTCATCGTCAATCGTCGTCGTGCAGCGCGTTTTGGCGATTTCGATCAATATTTTGGCAGTCTTGGAGCGTTGGAGGCGTCTCTGTGTCCGACCTGCGTCTCCACACACACACCCCATATCCGTATGACCATCCGCGCCGCGCATGTGCCAATGACCCACAGACCCCATTGATCTGTCCATGGACTCTCGCCTTGACGACGCGCAAAGCCAGAGTGACGACACCGCACACAACAAAGTGAGGTCAGCACGAGCCTTGGCATCGATGATTAAACCAGCTTTCGCACACAATCTCTGTCGGGCCTGAAGAATTTTTTTTGCTCTTCCCTCATCGGAGCCGGATCCAACGTGTTGCAGCGTTGCATTGTGCGCCCGTCGAGGCCCTGAAACCACCCGTCCACTGAACGGTACATCATCATTCGCAAATCGACCGAAAGTCGCCAGAGATCCAAATCAGACAGTCACATTCGTCCGAGAGAAAACTGGGTAGAGAGGGGGGCCAAAAACTTCGAAATGGAACGACCTCCCCAATGCGTTGACCGGTCCAACGGGAGAGACGACTTCCGCGGACTCCAGAGTCAACGACACGTCCGGCTTCTCTTTATATCTCTCCCCCGGTCATAGTCCTCGCGGTCGAAACAAAAAACCACGCAGCGCGCCCTCTTAGCGATTGGCCTATCTGTCGAGCGCGCATCACCTGCCGTTTTGGTGGTAAGATTTCGTCAGAACTCTGAGTGTCGTCGAGATGGTGGCGAACAGCAGTCGCACAACCTGTAGGCGCGCATGAAATTCGACAGAAAAGTTCCAATGATTCTGCTAAACAAGACGTGATGGATGCGGCAGTCGCAAAGGAGGTGGCCTGATTCCCTCCATCTTATCCCAAAGCGACCTGTCATGCAGACTAACGTTATCGACTCGTTCCACTTTTCAGGAGAAGTTGCTGTTTCCAGCCAAGCGCGAGTATGCCGGCGGTTGTCGAGTAGGGGAGCTGCTCCGCCCGCGTTTGTCCTCCACTTGAACGATTTCCGTATCCGCAAAGGGAAGTTCCCTTGAGAAAACAGAAGAGTCAACAGTTGCCCTTTTGTCATAGAGAAGCTTCTCAAGTGACCCGACCGAAGAGCTTTGAAGCTCCGAGGCCTCCATTCCCGTTGCTGCCTCGGCCGCGGCTGCGAAGGCGATGGCTCCGCGAAGCTCATTCAGCCGGTAGCCTTTGCGAATAAGTTGGCTTTTCATCTGGGCCTCGAGCCAGATGATGTACATGCTGCATCCCCAAACGAGCTGCACAATCAGCACGATCGAGGATGACGGCGCTGAGAAGCCCCACTGGTACGATGAGCCGCCTTTGTCAGGGTCAGGTAGACATTCCGAGGCTTGCATCCAACTATCTATACTCAAGTGAAAGCCAGTCGTCCCGTAGCAGAAAGTATCCCAGTTTATATCAGTGTTCCACTCTAGAGCCTCAGAAAGCTCCTTACCGGTGTAGTTCTGACCATTGATGGTGATTGGGTCGGGGCCTGT